TGTTGGGACGAATTGAATAACGGTTTATCCGGTTATTCAGCGAGGCAGACAACTGAATTTACTGCAACTGATTTCGCCTTGTTTTGATTTAATCTTTCTTAGGGCCGTTTGTTCTAGGAATTACAGAGACCTTGTTAAAGGGCGAGAACAGTCACCGAAACAAGTTTTCCGAGGTTGGTCGACCCTATAAGGTTTCAGCCATACTTGTCACCAACTATATTGCAGATATATTTCAATATGGACACCAAATGCTCAAGAGTTTAAAGATGCGAACCTTTCTGCTTAAAATCGAAAATGTCCACTCTTCGGCCGATCAGTCCCGGAAGGAGTACGATTCTTGAATAGAGCTATTTCAGTTAGAAGTCAGTCCGCCCCCGTTATTATCCTTTAAGCGTTGTGGTTGAATTAACTTCTGATTAGCTGACGACAGAAACATTACGAATTCTAAGTAATTTACTGCAGCGTGTTACCAACCACCCGATATCCTCTGGAGGGCGAACTTACAAACAAGCGCGTATCGTTTCCTATCGACGCCACAAACAGGAGACTTCCGATTGCCTTCCCCTAAAAACCTTTGGCAAGTAATGACGCAGTAAGCTTTTCGCAAAAAGTCTAGCGATACATTTTCAGTAAGGGACCATAAGTGCTCGCTTATTCGTTGTCATTCATGTATAGTTTGTACAATCTAGATGCATTTTGAAGTGACCAACGCAAGTAAAGCAACTCAGTTCATACGACTTGTTGATTGGCTTTAATGACGCTCTTCTTTACAGTAGAATATAATCGGATTCATAATATGACCTTGAGCACCTTATTTGGAGGCAAACTCATTTCAGCTTGTCTTTTTGCTTAAGAATTAATGGGAATAGCAGCCAACATAAACTGCTAGAATATGAAATAAAATAGATGTGGCAATGCTCACCATAAGAAAGCCGTCAAAATCTAGAAGGCGCTTGAAACGACAAAATCGTATATAAAATAAGAATTATTATATCCAGTAATCTTGTGAAAATGACTAGTGGTGTTAGCCTGGGGGGTCGGAATTAATTGATTGATTGATTGTGAAATTAGTATTTGTAGCAAGAAAGGATCCTATATATCCACTTTCCAAAGTCTCCCAACGCTTCTTACGTGTATGAGTGGGGAGTATTGATAGGCCAGGCAGTCAGTCTGCGCAGTTGGGTCAGTTACTGGGTTAACATTCGAACCGTTGACTAGACCAGCTGTGTCGCTCGAGCGTTGAATTCATCGCCTGTTTAGGCGTGCGTCGAACAGTTCCTCGTGGACAGGTCTCACCTGTCTATTGACCGACGTTTGACTCCTGAGATAGCTACCACTATGTGCCGCAGACCAGTTCCAATCAGAGTTGAACTCAAATCCAGTGTTTACGCCAGAATAATTGAATTAGAACATAGTGTGCATTGTTCAGACGGAAGTACCGTGTTACAAAAAATCTGATATCCACTGAAAATTACGCTCTTGGACGAAATAAAAAACAATATACTTTTAGATCCAAGCATTGTGCGCAACGCTTCGCAGCTATCTTGTTACATTCGGTCGTTCACCAATGCATTCAGGTATTGTGAAAACACTCATTCAGAGGGATCGGCGGTCGATTTTTGCACCAGCCAGTGTGCCGGTACAACGAGAGAAAAATAACTAAGCATCACAGGTGGGAACTGGACAAAATGATCCGGGAATGTCTTGTTTAGATAAAGACGGAGGAGTTCATTAGGTAGGCGCAGTCCCCGGGTTTCCGTCAACCTTATGTTCTACTTTAAACCGAATTGCACGAAATTAGCGAATATACGCTCATTTGCAACCTAATTTGGTTTTTCGAGAGGCTCACCTGGAACCCTGCTGAGTCTCTCGCTTGTGATGTTTTCAGGCAACTGAATGTGCTGCATCAGGCCGTCTCATGCCTCGCTTGGTACGATATGCGTGAAAACTAAATTTATTTGCAAATGAGTGTATTTGTCACAACTGGTCCAATTTGATTTCAAGTAGAACATAAGGTTGACGGAAACTCGGGGACTGCGCCTAACTGATGAGCTTCAGGAAGGGAGAAACCGGTCGTGGGCTATTGACGAATTTTCAGCAACTCTGTCAGTGTGTATTACGCATATACATGTATCGCGATATCTCGAATATCGTAGCAACTGGAACACGAGGCGGCCTGGTGCAGCACATTCAGTTGTCTGGAAACACCACAAACGAGAGATTCAGGTAAGTTCCAGGTGTGCCTCTCGCAAAACCAAATTGATTTGCAAGGGAGCGTATTTGTCACAAAGAGAGAGGAGATCCAAGAGCCGTTGTTGCATGGGTCCATGAAGGTTAATCTGGGATATGAAGACCTGTGGAAACGGTAAACACTAAAAGTACATTTCTAAGTAGCTGTTTTGTTGCGCATGAATCTGATTAAGTGCTGAACACACCTCAATTCTTTGCACACCTTAGTGTGCATGTTCTTTCTTAATGAAGAGCGACAAACATACTTCGGAGTTTTTGACTTTATGGACGAACTAGTTAGTAGTGTTTTCAGGGTCAAAATAAATCCTGAAAAGGAGCGAAAGCAGTGACCTTGCCGGGCTACTGATCACCCAACACAGCAAATTAAGACTGCCTAACTAGTGGAGACAAGCCCTTAGGAAGATGGGTGGGATTCTTTCGCGTCCCACTGACCAAATGAACACGTGAATAGGTGCAACCTAATGAGGTCATCTTATCGAAACGAGTTTGTTTCGCGTTAATACCGTCGAACATACCACAATGTGGACCAATTTATAGATATTCAATCAGATACACTGTAGCACCGCTGCAGTGTACAGTAAACAGAGTGATCTTGTTGCTTGTATTTGGTGAAATGAATGTATTCAGCTGTCGAAGGGGAACGGCATCTCATGTAGTACATATGTTCGTTTTTCCGATTACTGAGCTGAGTAACTTGATTGCAACCGTTTCATAACCATCTGAGGTGACGTCGTCAGTGCGTATTAAGTCGGCGGTGCTTCGAATTGCTGCGGATACCTAAGGTGTCCTGTGAAATTCATGCACAATTTACCACGATTCGTCTAAAATGTATCAAAAGGTTCGAAGATTTGTTACTTCCTGAGGAGTCAATCGAATGAATTGATAGCTTCTGAGTCAGATGAATGATAGCGGACGAGTCCTCTTTGGGTGGCAGATAACACAATTCTTCCGAGAATAGCAGCATGTATATTGCAGTGAGGACGGACCGACCAAGAGCAGCGAACAAATTTCTGGCCAATTTATCAGTCTTCTCAATGAAGTACACCGCATTCAATGTATACATAAGGATTTTACGAACGTTGCGGTCGACCAGATGATGGAAAAGTTGGGGGTAAATATGATGCCTGATTTGAGAGTCAAATAGATGCAACAGGCGCTCCGAGGGTTTTCGCTGAGTAAAGCGTGTTGTCCGCACGTTAAGCTCAAAATGCAAAATTTTATCGGAATACATTTCATGATGTTGAATGCCACTTTGAAAGTAGTTGATAGTAATGATCATGCCAGACGGAAAACCGCTGGCAGTTAATACTTGGATTCATTCAAGTGCATGGTCCAACAATACTACCGTTGGTATGATTCCCTTCGCTCCATCTCAGATTACCGCATCCATTTTTTAGGAATCACCATTAAGAATTTCCGTTCATCAAATTTACTTGCATCAAACAATCCTTGCGTATTCTACTGTAAAATAAACAACTTTCCTGAGTAGACAAGTTTTTCCTTAATCCCAAAAAGGAGTGTATTTTGAGTTACGCGGATTCCTTTATTCTCACTCCCTGAAGTAAGGCGTCATAACCCACAAAACACTGTCTACAACTTTGATCTACAAGGTGTTGACAGATCTACATAGATGGCTAGCTCTATCAAGTACTGTTTTTAACCATCAGGCAATAGTTTTTAACCATTACGGTGACGATGTTGTCCGGCAATTTATCTGTACTTCATCATATAGATTACCCATCCAACCAATAAACGTTATGATGCGAAGGATGTAGTTTCACGACGTGTCAGAAGGCAACACTAATACCCCAGTTCAACCATTCTGGCGTCTTTGTTCAAAGCCGATGCAAACTGTTTTATCGTGCTTTTGATTATGCCCTGTGTCGTTTTCATCGCTGGTGTTCTCTAGTAATCATGAGTTTTGCCTATGGTCATGTCTAAATAGTTCTGTTTTGCTTGTGCAACTAAATGCTACAGAACATTTTTGGCATTCGGCTTCAGTCAAAAGTTTGAAGAAGGTAGCTTAACTTTGTCCGCCTCTGTCTCATCTCCGCTGACATGTGCTAAGAGGTGTAATGAAAGCTGTTATACCAATAGATATCAACCTCACGATTTCTCACGATTTCCTTGTTTATCAATGAAGAATCGGTACCCCCTAAAAATTGTTGCAGATAATAACAAATGAATTTGTATTGGCAGCGGACTCCAACGATTTCAAGGTGAATCCCTCGTTTGTGCTTTTCCCCAGCTGCACCCGTCTGATGGGCTTTCGAAAGGCCGAAATTGGTAGTTAGCTGTTAAAATGTATTCAGAAACATTATAAGTAGTATCTTGTGATGAACATGTGGCTGATTGACGCTTCAGTTTACCATCTACATTCGTCCGGCCCTTGGTTTTACCACGGCTTTCAGAACTATTTTAGATGTCTGCATTCCAAGATGTAATTACTTGCAGCCACTAATTTAGTAGTGCATTGCACACTGCCATAAATTATTGATCAGTTATATGCATCGTTTATTGCTCTTACGAGTTTTTGAAAGCTTCACGGTTTTGAGATTTTATCACCGTCCTAAAGACTAATCAGCCAATAGAATAGGTGCTGTGGCGTTTTAGATTCTCTCAGACAACAAGCATTTTTGCTGATACTCAAGAGATTATTTCATAACGAATATAAAAGATTGCAAATTTTGAAATTTTTCTCTCCTTAGTGTTGTGTAATTTCAAACTTTGAAACAATTTGAGACGATGGCATGTACTTTGAGGAAATTACTACATTAGCTGACGTACACTCGAACGGTCTGTTTATATTTTTTGAAATGCACTTTGATCTTCTTAGAATCCACCACCTGCAAGAAGAGGAAACGCTTAGCAAGTATTACGAAGCACATCTAATAAGATACGTCCTCTTATAAGAAACAAACTCCTCAAAAACCATCTTTAGCTAGTCCTTTGGAATGGTTTATCCAGAGAGCCAAATAGTTCACTTTCGTCCTGTTAAGCACATGGCTGCTTAAATCTAGTTGGTTTTTGGTTGTCCCTTTAGGGTTTCCCCTTGTGACAAAAGGACGCACAATGTTATCCCCAACTTCCCACCCCTACAAGTATTTGAATTGACTCACAGAAAATGGTCTTTTCCGAAAGCCGGTTGTCTTGGAGATGAATTTCAACAATAGATGAAGGATGGGCGAGCAGTCATATATGGGATGACCTAGAGAGTGGTTTCATAAGGGTAATTTAAGCCATCATTAGTCATACGGAGAGAAACTAATTTGGAAGGCAAATTTTCATTATGTCAGTATTTAGACATCCAACTGTAATGCACGGAAAATCATCACACGTAACAAGTTGGGTAGCTGGTAAACGTTCGTATGTGTTTTTGCTTTCAATAAGATGTGTTTGTCCACCAAACTTCGGAACACTAGTTTTTAGGAAGCTAGCCCTGCGTTCTGATGGAATCTGGGGCTACAAGGTACACAGTGATCTATGTTTGGTAGTAATTTTAGGCCTAATCCCACGGGACCGAATGAAGTCGCCTCAGTCGAGTCTTTTAGAAAGACCTGTCGAGGACAACAACTAAAGCCAGAAATGTCGCACCGGGATGTAATCTATGTATGCTTTACTTTCTTAAGCGGCCTACCTGAAGTACAAAATTTCCCCGGTACCTACGTTTGCTGCAACTTCAGTCTGTGCAGAATTGCAGCTTGAGTGTGTCCTGGAAAAGTACCGAAACGTGGGGAATGGCCGTGCGCAGGATCGTTTGTAAGGCATACGTATTCAATGTACTCTTATCCAAAGCATCCGCATACCGCTTCAAAATCTATTAATTTTTTAGGACACTGGTGCACAACGGTTTAATGTTCAAAATGAAATCACAGTCCACTAATGCTTCATTCCCGATCTAAAGCTGTCATGTTATCGTTGGATGCAGTTTACACATGCGAGTGATACAGTGCTCCAATGTAATAAACTCAGATTGTTAAAGTAAAACCTCGCCAGAAAGCCGAAGGAGACAAATAGGTTGAGAACAAATGAGTCATTGTACAACGAGAGACAGTTTGGGGATAGGCTGCTATTATCCAGTGCGACCTAAGCGTGACTTCTCCACGCAACCAGAATCTCCTTCTTCATTGAAGTTGGGAACGTTGGAAAGCTTATGCCGTAACTGCTCTTACCTTAATCGTCAAAAGGTCGACCATAATGATGATGTTTAATTCATTAATCTCAAAACACCGGTGCTTCTCAAAAAGCATCTGCGGTAAGCATCACCATCAAGCATCAGACTTTCGTGCCTTACTCCTTTTAACGTCAAGTACGGTAGCCTTCCCTGCAATTTTGAATGAAGAGAACAAATGTGCCCTTTGCTTTTGGAAACCCGAAATGCGACGACGTGAAGGATGGAGGAAACAGACCTAAAACGAACTACTCTTGTTGCGAAAAAACTCGAATGTTACATTAGCGACATGCTGGTCAAAGGAGGCTGCAGATGAGCCACCTCGCTTACTCCACCTAATCAGTTAAAACAAAACAAGAAATCTGACATGAGGCTATGCTTCAACTTAGGATTGCGAATCACGATAATCAATGGTCCGTAGATGAAGCATCACCTAAAGGATAATGGTCCATCAAGGATAAGGTTTACCTTGTTCATTAGCGCTTATGTTACCACAGGACTTTAGTTAGACGAGGAATTAAGTGAATCTTCTGTGGAAGTGTTTCGGAACTACTTTTCTGAGCGAACTTTTATGTTAATTGATTTTTGCCCCCCGGATTGCCGAGGACTAAGGGGCCTGCAGGACGTTCGGGTGGGCAGGTGACAGTTGTGGGGGACTACCGAGGAAGTGTTCGGCATGCGAAAAGGTATTAAGAAGCTGGGGATCAGGCCGTCCAAAGTGTAGGCTTGTTGAAGAAATAGATGCAAAAGCTAAAATGGCTGGGCAAAATATCAGTTATAAGGGATACATCCTTTAACTTTTCAAAACAAAGTATTGTTTCTGCTAGAACGAAACTCTGGCAAATACTCGAGCAAAGAAATCACAGTTTTTTTATCTGTAAAAGTGGTTTTTGGTCGCTCCTAAGTACAGACATATGACCTCACGTTTCATTCTTCTAGGGGAAGTAACTGCTCCATCAGTGGGTGTGATCACAATCGATCTACAAACTGACAATTGAACGTTTGATTAAATCATAAGCGTCAAACATTCTGCTGAACTCAAAAGCCAAAAACGGTTCCCAATGTCTCCACTTCCTTTTTTATTTAAAGATCGGTAAGGTCCGAGCTGAGCGACTGTGGATCTCCGCATGGTGCCTGCATGCATCCACAGCGAACGGACACAAGCCGCTCGGCTGAAGTGTAACAAAAGCCACTCCTAAACTGGCACTTAAAATCGAAGATGCTTTTATTCCTCTGCTTCAAAACCATGTGGAAAGAAGCGTTCTCCGTATGTCCATGCTAATGAAGAAAGAGTATACTTGTTGTTGATAAAAAGCCTTGTTTTTTTTTATTTTAGGCAACTTTAACTGCATATCTGATGGCGTTTACCATTTGATCAAAATATGTGCACCGCCCAGGCTGTCATCAAAAGTATTTAATTGTTACACTGCTTCGGTGTGGTTGTGTTGTGATCGAATTTTAGTGATATTGATATCCTTGTATCTGTCACAATCGCGTTTTGAATTGCCACAGATGTAAACCACTTTTTCGGTCGCTCAACTCACAGATGACCAATCAGAGTGCAGTATTTTTTCGGTAAATGCGGGCGTTGTGACGCAACCGTTTCCGGGATTTTCTCACACCCGCCTCCATTTTAGGCGGGGGTTCGTCCTCTTATTTGATTGGTAGGTGTGTTTATTACATTAGACTATTTAAGCACCCAATTTGCTCTACCCAAAAACCAGTTGATGAGCGTTTTGCAAGCGAACATGTGGGGACAGTTTGGTGCTCTTCTTTGCCTGTTCATGTTGGTGCCTGATGCAGAATCTAGTGAGTTTGAACTAATTAAATATTCGTGTGCAGGTTTTACCAATTATTCTCACGTACGTGTGATATCCGAGATCTTTCAATTGACTAAAATAATTTTTCTATACTCATCCATAATATAATACCGTTCTTCATTATCGCAAGCAGGTACCAGAGAACAGATAAATTTGTGCCCTCAAACTGATACTGAAGTACCAAAGTTGCCAAACTAACAGACAAACTCCGATTAAAAATCATTGTGTCTTCCACTAAATCTCAAGGGTTTTGTGAAAATAACCTGAAGAAGTCCAAATACTCAACGCAAACTTTGCTGTTCAAAAGTGTTTGGGACTCTTCTAAGGTCGATAGTTTCACCACAACAGTTTTCGTTTTTCCGCAGACCAACTAATTGATAGACAACTCGAATTTGCGAAGCCGGTCATTTTCGGCTTCTTTTGTAAAAACTGCCTTCTACATAATTTACTATTTCGCATCAACTGGTGTACACTGTTTACACTGGCGACGAATATTATCCTAAAGAGCTTACCCGAAGTCAACACTGGCCCCACGTGTCAACAACAGCCAACTTTTAAGAGCAACTTGAAATAGACCTATAGTTATTTTGATGGCTCCCTTCAGAAGTTTTACCCGGAAACTGATCGACAGTGTTATACTTCCTGATAATGCAGCATATCTTGTTATGTTTGTTGTATCAGATATATTTCACACCATGTCCTACAAAAATATATCTTGTTCCTCCAGCAGTGTCACCAAAGAATAAAAACCGGGTCCACAACTTACAATCCATTTCATATTGATGATTGTAACAAGCTGATACTTTAAAAGTACTTTGTCAAAATGCCAGGAGCGTTTCACCTAATCACCTCTGATGATGCCTCACGATCCATTCTTATATCGTTAGCACTAGGTGATCACACAGACTCCTTTCTAATTACTTCTTAGCAATCGCCCTGCTCAAACCCGTTCCAAACGGAATGCAGGTATGGTGGGATGATCCCGTGATGCCCACTGCGGAGTTCCTTCTCACATGGCAAAAAGAAGGCAGCAACAAGGTTGAAGGTCACAAATTCATCGAACGAAATGCGAGAAACTACGTCGTCAAAGGACTTGAAGACTGTCAGATGTATACCTTTAACCTGATTGCAATGGACTGGAAATATCGACAATTTGGTGCAGGGAGAAAATCTGGAATGACAGGTGAGCAGTAAGATGTTTTATTTATCTATGAAGCTATTGGAAAATTCATTTGAGCTTGAATAGGTTTCATTTGCAACGTGGTAGAGTGACACAGTTGATTTGCCTCAGCGAGCATTAGGTACAAAAGAAGAATCCCATCAGAAACAGACCGAGTGATCTGGCCCGTGTAACCACAAGATAAAATGAATTTTGTTCCGTCTAACCAGAATCAGTTACTTTTTCAAAGCGTCAGTCTCAGATACCAAGTGGGATTTTTGTATTTTTTCTCCAGAAAACTGCATGTTTCAATCTACTAACTAACTTTTACGACGTCAAATTTCAGTAACAACAAGAATGGATCCACTTTACACTGATTTTTTGAGTTCACTTCGCAGTTTGACGTTGCCAGAAAGATAAAATTCACACGTAGGACTTCCAACATTTTTTACCCAATAACAGCTCAGAAGAATCTATCGAGAGTTGACAGACTCATATCTCGTACAAAACCATCTTTCACTAAGTCATCTACTGCCAAGTATAGTAGTAGTCCAAATTCCCGGTGGTTCGAAAGCGTACAGTGTTTGTACAACAGAAAATAGTGTTCAAAAAGAGCGCGTACCGAAAGCACACTAATAGCTCGAATTCTTATCAAGAGAATGACACCTGAGAGGAAGAACCAGATTTATACTCACCTCATTTCCTTTCAGAGAAATGTTTGAAAGCTTTTATAGCTTGAAACACATTTGAAAATCTTGTTTCGTGTAACTCTTCAGGCGTATCTGACTCACTCACAGCCCACAACTTAAAGGAAATAACTTTTCTTGAAGGAAAAAATCACGTTTTGCACGTTTCTCAAGTGGGCAAAAAGTTTAAGAACACGAAATAAATTATCTAGAACTGGCATGTAAAAATGCTCCTGAAATTACGTACTCTATAGGCGTAAAAATTCACATATGATGTTCTCGCCGGTTTTGATGAAATCCGGATGTTTCTTTCAATGGCTTACTCTTTTTGGCTGTTTATCGTTGTAGGTCATTGCATGTTCTTGAGCTGTAGATTTATTGTTAGTGATTTGTTGCTACATTTCTTGATCTCTGCCTTAAGTCTATCACAATTCATCTGTGACCGCCTACAAGAACTGCTTTCTTTTTTAATCTACATCCACTCAGGAAACTGTCCCTCAGAGCTTGAAGAAGGCGAACTTGACATGAGCACATAACTACCTACTACTCTTGTCCTATCAGTAGTGATGTTGTGTCCCGTACGTCTATTCATTTTTCGCCATATTGTCCCTATGTATGACTGTTTATGAGAATTATTTAAATAAATTTCATCGTAATTTGTGTATATCTCTTACACTGGCACTGATGAAAGATAGTGTTTGGAGAATGGGAAAAATTCAGCAACTCCGGTAAAGGGCGATTTATGTATGGACATAGGGTAATGTCTCAATGCAGAATATGATTGGAAATATTGGTTGATTTGCGATGCATGGTGTCTATTCTCACCTGAGCTGCCATTCTGACGAGAACAAAAGAAGCTTTTTCAACTTCCCTGAGTGTGGCTGCTGATTAACTGAAGATTTGGAGTGAGATGTGCCGTTGGAAAACAGCTTTCCTATAAGTTGGGACGATCCGTTCGTGATATCGGGTTATTTACCTTCGTGATTTTTTTGGCATCGAGTATTCAGATCCCAACAATCAACATAAACAACGACACTGAACACCCAGAGCCAGTTAATCCTTATTGACTGAATCTGAAAAGGTTCCATAATGTTATATCGTAAGTGAACGGCATGATATCCATTCATTAAATAAGCGAAAACCCTCAAGATGGAAACTCGGGGACTTCACCCACCTGATGAGCCTCAAGGAGGACGAAGCCGGTCGTGGGCTGTCGAAGAGTTTTCAGAAACCTTGTGAGTAGTTTCCTTTATGACAACGTATTTATCCCCTTTTTCAAGCTACTGTCGAGGACTGATTAAGGTTCATCTGTATCCCAAATCCTTAACAGATACTACATATAACCTGTGTATTTTAATCAAGTTACATTGATTCAACTACATTAACCAAACTTCAAGTACACTAGCCAAAGAGGAGGAATATGAAAAAGAACTATCCTTAGTTGGCATTGGCTAATCTGGCTATTCAAACCAATAAACTTTATATGGAGAAACGCGCGTTCACGTTACAATTTGTTCACCCGTTGTTAAAATTTAGCCATATGGATGGATAATCAACAATCCATATAAGTTCTGAATAGCATAGTGAGTCGTTTGACTGTACTGGAAGGCACAAAGGCAGTTTTAGGTGACTACCAATACGTGTCTTGATTGGGCAATACGTCTACCTGTTTTGCACATCAAACAAATGAGCTGTTAGACGGATCAGTCCATCGATAGTAATGATGCATCAGGTAGTACTTAGTTGAATGCCACATGAAAAACCCAAATCAATTTCAGTTTACACAATCATTGTCCTATTTACTTCTTTCCATTGGTTGAGAATATAAAGACGGTTTTATCGAACATTGTCTACATGAAGTTTACCGGTGGCGAAATACACTCATTTGAAAATCGAATTGGTGTTCACGAGGGAGTCAACTGATTCCCTCGTAAACGATATTACTTGAGCGGGACACAAGGCTGCCTTCTATTTTAGTTGGCAATAAATTCGAGATATCAAAGTATAATTTCCCGAAACAAAACACTACTCACATGTTCACCGAAAAGTCTTTGACATCTCAGTGCCGGACTTGTCAGTTTCGTGGGGCTTTAAGTAGACACAATCTCCAAGTTTCCCGTATTACAAGAAAATATTCGTAGATCTCTTAAATACCATATCGGCTGTGCAGTACGTCTAGTTATAGGATATCATTAACCAGTCATTTATTTGAGTCCTGTCAGAGAAAGCAATGCATATTTTCAACTCCACATGTTTCCCCGCTAGCAGAAAACAGGTTTAATGGAAAACAGGAGACTACGTCTACCTAATGAACCGTAAGAATGTCGAAGAGATATGTAGCGTTTTCAAAAACCCCTGGATGTTTGATCATGGTTGAGTTCTCCTTTGGTGCCCTTAAAAGTGGTGCGGTAAAATGCTATCCCACAATTCGTGCCATAATCTAAAACCAAACTAATATCATCGATCCCAAGGCTGTAGTAATTACCCCTGGGTTCGAATCTGCTTGCGGGCACTTGTTTCGTAGTTTAACCATCGAGTATTTCTTGGTGAACGGGATTATGTACCAGTAGGACGCATGAAATCGGATGCATACGTATCAGCCACTGAAAATGTTCTACGGATCCGAAATCAAAGAAAATGTGTGGATTTTGAGGACAGCTTTCCAGGCCATACTTCTCCAATTTTGTGTATTTCGTCTATTGTCATTCTATTGGTTTGTGCATCCAAAGCGCTCAGGCTGATTGCGACCATGGTGAAAATACTCCCTTATAGCCTGCTGTGAACGGAATACACAAAATCTGCATTCTGTTCAAAGCTGAATGAAAAAGCTTTGAGATGACCTTACTACAATACGAACCCCACATACTCTGGTGCACGGTTGAATGAAAAGCATTCTGCTCGGACCAGGCGTTTAACATCTATCAAGCAGTCAGGAGCATGAGGAGATGTTGGATTTTTTAATTAAGGTTTTGTCGTGTAAGTAAAACCAATTTATGGTTAAAATCCGAGAACATCTTAAAGCTGTTTTGGCCTTATTGGGAATAATCAGTAGTGTCCACCTTGAGAAACTCAGTGAGTTTTGAACCTAGGACCTTTCGGTTAGTAGTTCGAGTACTTGACCAAGCGTCACAGTTTCAAATAATCCAAAAGCTGCGAAAGTTTTCTAGGGATGACCAGCTTTCAAGCTCGTATCACAGCCTCACGTGCACGAGGCGATTGGCATCAGCAGATGTATTTGAACCCTGACCTGTTTACCAGATTTACTCAAAAGGCCCGAAATGTTCTAAAGTATACATGTTACTCACTGTATTATTAGAGTCCCAAGCCTGCATTTCCAATAAAGTCCCCGGAAACTTCTTCGTAATTCAAGATTTCCTCGAAGAAGCGGTATGAGCTCGTGCTGCGCAAACCTCATTCTGAAATAAAACTTTTGTGATCGTTCCCCTCACCGTGTATAATGCTGGTAGCGATTGGGCGGAAGCTATAGATCAGGGTATTAACCAAATAAACCAACATTGGTAGTCTAGGACCAAATACCATCTAGAGTGAAACAAGAGTTGACTGATTGCATTAGTATGGCTGTAGACACCCGGTCATAGGTTGGGAGTCGGTCATAGGATAGGAGTGAATGCCGTAGGGAAGACAGTTGCAACAAACAAACAGAACCAAATGAATGGGCCTCTTTCATGTGAACGGAATTTTTGGCCATCTCAAGAATAATGGCCGGACAATAACTAAGTATAAGGCATCCTTATCAGAAAACCTATAATCACAAGTTTGTAACAGTCTTTGATGTTATACATTCATCCAACTGCATGACGATAAATGGCCCAGGAGTAGCGCACTGCTACCCGGTTCAGTTGGTACACATAAAATTAAGCGTGGTAAGCTCTCTAGGCTAATTGTTCTATGGCGTGAAGAAAGAAGAGGTACGTTTAAAGATGCACGAGCATTTACTCGAACCACGTAGATTGCGCTGAACTACAAAGCCAAACCTTGGAATTATGTGACGTTTTTCAGGTTTATTGGAGTGGAAAATATGTACACTATATTTTTACACGGGAAGCCATACTATAAATGGTTTGCTTGCAGAAAAGGAGATCCCTAGAGCAAGTAGCCGTCTGATATAAAAAGAATTAGTCACAGAATTTGCAGTAATGCGTGGTCGTGCCAGGAAAGATTGCATGATAACGAAACTTCGAGTTGTTTGATGCAATTTACTGGCGCCAAGATGGCGTTTCTGGGGTGACAGCAGTGAGATACGTTTATTTTGCGTGAAATCCAATGAAAGTTCCACAGTTTCACATTGCCGTTTGTTTAAGGATTTTGGTAGTAAAAGAGATTTTAGGTGCCACAAACGCTGAGAGCGGTTACTACACTAGAGAAATGGGACATGTTTGCTTGGCCCCACTAATAAACGCGCTAAGAAAACAGTATTTTTCGGGCAACAAGGTTAGTTAACTTGCTGGAGTTAGTTTGCCTCACTGCTTCCTTCCAATTCAGCGATTTATCAGGATATTCACGAAACCGTGAAACGAACAAAGATTGTTGACCCCATTGCCTAAAGTGGGGGCCATTAGCCGCACACTGCTCTCAGCTGCGAAATGGTCGTGAGTGGAATAGGAGTTTTTATATTGCATTTTGTTGCGTATGTGCTCAAACCAAAAACCAACGCAATATACACTCATATTTCTGCAGGTCACCGAATTTCATCGTCCACTGAAGCCATTTTGTTGGTATGTGCTCAAACCAAAAACCAACGCAATATACACTCATATTTCTGCAGGTCACCGAATTTCATCGTCCACTGAAGCCACAGTACTTCTAGAGGAAACAGTCTGGTGGAATACTTTCCTGGCATCGCTGATACCCCGGGATGCCTAGATAACACTCAAAAGATTGGACTCGTACTTTGAACTGAATATCCTATCTCTTTCGGTCAGAAACGAACAAGTCGTAGCTTTCGGAATACTGAGCACTACCTTGAGTCGAGTGACAAATTTGGAATTGTTTAGGACTCCAAATTAATTGTAAATGTGAGACAAAACTTTTGCTTCAAGTTTTGCTGATTACAAAGTGATAAGTTTCTTTTCTCATTTATAATCAAGAGACACTGGTGCACCTACATGGCTAACAATTTTCAGTAGCAACGCCATACACCTTAGTTCATCCCATGGAGTTTGCTTCAAACGAAGATCACATGCTTGTACTTGGGAGGTATATTTCGGTTTAACGGTAATATAAATTGCACAACTGAAGGATAATTAATCCTTGTTCGGATGTTTATCATATTTTTTAAATCTAACAATCCTCGTCCTCATGGCATCTTTGTGAGATGTTCATCCTCCATCTGGGTTGGGACATGAGTTGGAATACAAAATACACCGATGATAGCTGACCGCTGAACATAGGTCAATTCCAAAGAGACATCCTTCCGACGGATAAACAGTAGTCGTGGGAAAAACAGGATATAATTCCTGTATAATTCCGGAAGCGTTTTTTCATCGTACAGGAAAGTGATTCTTGACGCCATCGTTACTTAATGAAGCAAGGTGTATGGTGGTTCTTCATGTTCTCCGATATCTTATAGAATTCACGGTTGAACGTGAATTTCTAATGGTAAGCATGCCAACCAACTTAAGACTGATT